GTCAAAGCTGTCAAAATCAACCGCCCCCTAGCACACCCCTCGTTGGAGGCGGGCGCTCGCAATCGCTTTCGCTACCTACTCATGGAGGACTTGTGAACGTGCTGTGCCCGTGAAAGGAGAAGGAACCCAAAATCGCAGTTGCGTCTTAGGCGAGAACTCGGGGCCATAGAAAATCACAACTTTTTTTCGTCTAGCAAAGGAAAACCAAGAGCTGCAAACAGTGTGGAAACACAGCGTTCCGGCATAGCTGAGACTTAGTTGGATTCATGGGACAAAGTAACAAGGATGTTATCGATGCTGGTCGGAAAAGAAGTAGGTGCAGTTCAAAGAATAACACGCGGCAGTGCCACCATGATGGTGCCCACGAAGGCTCGGCTGCGGACGAGCCTTCATAGCATGTTGGAAGCTAATGGCAGAGCGGCCTAAATGCTTCAATGCCGTTATTGTAGACATGGGACTACAATGACAAGAATCAAACGATTGCATGGCAAGCTGCTGCTGACTTCACAGGCTGGTGCTATGTCCACTACAGGGCATGCTTTGCCCACCCCTGAAGCACGGGCCTGAGGAGGCCGGGGCAGCGTGTCTTTGGCGCAGCCATTGGCTCAAGGTCCAGGCCTCTTGGTGCAGCAGTGTGTGCAGCTGCATGCTGAATCACAAGGTGATTTTGAGAGGTCCAGGTGTCTGGAACTCACGCAATCTACGAAGCATTCTATCATTGCCAAGCCACGGCTCAAATCTTCAAACTTTTAAAACTGCACCAGATGTGACCAATTCCTGAAACCTTAAGGGTCTGGTTGGGAAGCCAGCTTGGAGATTTTGCGGGGCAATCTAACTGGCTGATAAACAACACTGTTGCGGGTGATCCTGGCAGTTGGCACGCTTAAGAATCCCTACTTGTAGCTCGAGAAGTCCAAGGCTGCAGCCACTGTTTCGCAGAGCCCTTCGAAAGGCCTCTGCAAGACACTTAAGGATTGACATCCGTTGGCCCTTCTCGCAAAGCACTCTCCTTTTGCTGGACGCCGATAAGAGTCTAGGAAATTATGATCAAGGAAAGCTGCTTTTTTTCTTGCCGCCTGAACATGAGCTAAAGCACATGTCACATATCATATACGCAACCTCGTGTGCGACTTAGCAGATGCACCAGCTTGTCTGCTGCACGCCAGCTCGCTGTTTTTTCTGAAGCCAACATTCACAACAACGCGTGCACTGGCATGCTTGTGCCTTCCTGATGGGGTTGCCGTCCACCTGTTAAGCCGGGTGGAAGCAAAGGCCTGGGGCTTACCACTATGAGATTGAAGTGGGTCATGTCTTTTTCAGAGCGTACCTGGGATGTGAAAGCCTAATCTGCATGCTCACTGGTTCGTCATGTCTGCAAGCTACAAACCGCACCGAGAGACACCATGCCCTTAACTGCATGCAGCGAGCATGAGCAACTCTTCGCACAGAGGCAATCAGGGCGATGTCCACGCATTAGAAACTCTAGATAGGCGCAAGCAGCGCTTGCTGAGGGAAATCTTGCAATTTCTAGCTGTGCCGATGCAGAAGCAGAGCCTACAAACTCGCGACTGAAGACGGGATAATGATGGGATGATGAATTGTGTCTGAGCCGTTGAGGTTCAGCAACAGGTTTTTGCAATGGCTCTTCCTCGACAACTGTCTTTGCAAACGGGGAGTCAACAAACCTCAAGCGAAACGAGATAAGCCTTTTGGGGTGATCGTTCCCTGGTTCTGACATTCGCTGCAAAAGTTTGTTGTCACAATGCTGTGTTTGTGTCATTAGGAGTTAGACTTGTGTGTGTGTGCCATCGCTAAGGCCAGAATGCTCTTCCGGTGTCTTTAGGGTTTGAACTTGCTTGTGCCTTTGAACAGGTCCAGGAGCTAGAACTTCTTGCATTTGCAGTTGCCTTGCCCGTGCCTCATGTCTCATGGACACCATATGTATGCCTCGCTAGCACCTCACCAACCCTGGACCATTCAAAAAGCAGGTTCCTGTTTGCGCGTTCAGTGAGTGATGCCATGCAAACATGACTCGCCTTGTCTGCCAGCCGATTGAAGGCCTCATGCGTAGCCTGAGGAAAACTCATACTTCATGCGCAATCAAGCATAGAGCAGCCCCGTGCAAGAATTAGCGGGAAACTAATCGGGAGAAGTACCATGGAAGTGTGAGGGAAAATGGGTGCAAGCAATCCGACCAGAGCGGCCACTACCCTGAGGCCTCGCAAAACATCTGCATTTCAATCTACGAGATGGGGTTTGCGCCTGGCATTACAAAGACACCGCCTAGGGGCGACATACAGCGCCAACTACGGCGCCTCGCAACATGGACACCCCAAGTCTTAGCCTCTAAACTCCTAGGAGGATCCTGAATCCTTACGCTGGTCGACAAACTCTGCCCAGGGGATAATGGAAGAGTTATTGGTTGCATCTAGGTTGTGTATTAAAGGAAACAGAATGAGGGGGTGGAGCAGTATCTTCCCGTCCTACATACCTCTGCCAGATAGCTGTAACAACTACCTGCTTTCCATCTGCCTGCAATGCCTCTGACAGGAAACCAGCCACTCTTTGCGAGCAAGCTAGGCACACACTAACTTGACTGAAACATGGACATTATGGGTACATATATAGGCTCTTAGTAGGCATATAAGGATCCAAGGGTTAAGGGCCCATACTAGGGGCCCATGGCTTTAACCTTAGAAACTGCAGTAGCGCGCAAAGACCTGGATAGACTTATGGATACAAGACCTCCTGGAACCCGACAGCCAAAGCCTTAACATCTAGAAATACCATAAACACCCATATAGCGTAATGGGGAGGGAATGGACCTCCTTTGTCGGCATCCACTGGCCCGGACCCGCAGTGGAAGCACTCTCCTCGAGGAGCAAGGGATACAAGGGGCTTCGGGTTTAGGGGCTTAGGATTTGGGGATTAGCGGCTCAGGGTTTCGGGTTTAGGGTGTAGTGGCGTACCACAAGATTTGTGTTTGTACATGTGCACAAATCTAGACTTCAGAGGTCAAGGAGTTTCTGTTGATGGGCTTATTCAACTACTGATGGCTTAAGGCCTGCATGTGGGCCCCCTGCTTCTGCAGGTGTTGTTTCTGGGATGCCTTCTTGGACGAAGGAAGCCAAGTCAGTTAGAATCCTGGTGCTTCGGGGATTCATGTCAAGGGCTTGGGCTTTAGGTATCTGAAATTTTGTGTTCCGGGTCCACGTTTAAAGCGTGCATCCAGAAATCAACAGATCAGGGTCTCATAGTTCATATAGCTTCGCGGCTGGCTTCGCTAGTATTGAACGTTTGCCTGAAAAGTCAGACCAATGACGTGTTGCTTGAACACACCGCGGTGAGTAAGTACAACACATGCAGCAAAAGCTGACGTCGGCCTATGCCAGGACTCAGCCCGTGCAATCCGTATTCCCTGCTCACTCGCCGATGCATCAGCCATGAAAGTGCACTCTTGACTCTTTTGACTTTGGCTCGACAATGTTTCAACCGCTGGTGCCGGTGGCAACCCTATGAACCCCGCACAGTGTCGCTAGAAGCAAGCCTGCCAAGGGATTCAAGCACTCCTTCGATTCCGCAAATGAGAAGCTGTTCCGCATCGCCTCGGGGCACAATGCACCTAATGATTCTATAGCAGTAGCACTAGACTAGACACAGTAGTTTTAATAGCAACAGGCACAAACAAGTCCAGGTCGTCGTCTTGGGGAGAAGTACCAATCCTCTGTCAGAGGAATTTGAGTCTTCTGGCCACTTGCACGGCCATAGACATGCCACATGTGGGTGTCAGGGTGTCCTGGATCAGTGCCTGTGGGCATCTCAAGACTAGTCACGGCTCTTTTTGTCACACCTGTACTACGAAAAGTATGCTTCAAAAGTTAGAAGCTAATGATGGGACCCTCAGAAACAGAAATTGTCGGCGTCGGTTTGCATGGCAAGAACTGCAAGAACTGCTAATGAGGACTACCAGCACACAAAGCTCATAAAGCTCAAGCATCTGAATACCACAGCCGAGCTTGCTTTGGATCCAGAATGCGGTGGTTCGCGCCCCCAGGGTTCCCAAAACCGCCAAACCCAGCAAATCTCCTGTCCGTTTGTCTGGCGCCAACAATAAATGCCGGCTGTGAAAGCTAGTTGTCCAAACGGGGTCGCGGAATGCATTTTGCTGGGGGGGGCAGGCGCGCCTGGTAAAAAAAAAGGCCGGCGCGCCACCCTGGTCACCTCGTGTAAAGTGCCCATTGTAACCCCCATACCCTCAGCTCAGTAGGCAAGATCCATAAAGCTGTAGCTAATCATAAATGCCAGCCCCAAGCTAGGGCAAGGCCGGCGACACAATTGTGATCTGTTGAATCCTCCTCCTAGCTGAGATTCAGGTTTGTTTGGGCTACTTATACTTTTTGCTTACCAGCCCTTCTTCTTCTGCCGGCGTTGGAAGGGCCTCACGCCCTTTCCAAGGCACAGCCCCGCGCCCAAGAGGTCTCGCGTCAAGAGTCGGTGACCCCAGAGGACCAGAACCCAACCTATCCCAGGCCACCACACCAGCTACCATGCCCTTTTCTCTCTCTCTCTCTCTCTTTCTCTCTCCTGCGGCCCTTCATGCTGGCCAAATGACGCTCCCATTATGTGAGGTGCGCACAGAAGAACTAGAAGGTCAATGTGGAGGAATTTATCCGTGTTCCTGCTACCAAAAGAGAATGCGGAGCAATTTAATCTTGTGGTCACTTTCCAAAAATTGGAGCGCACCCTCGAAACAATGCACTGATCCGGCAGAAGCCCTCTGCAGCGTTAGGCGGATCAGACCTGGCAGGACTCTTTTTGCTCTGCACGGATCCGGTTACGGGGCTGCTTCTACTGCAGCCCTGAAGGTAGGAGTTCATTGATACTAAATTTCTCTTCAACTTTTGTGGTCATAGCAGGTAGACAGGGCCAGGTTGCAGACTTGGTTGGAGGTCCTGTTCTAGGTGCATAGCATTGATCTGGGGGTTAAATGCCTGGCACTCTCAGACAGCCATCTGCTCCTTCAGCGAAGCTTCTTGATCGGCACACAGCACCTCCAGCCGGGCACGAAGTAAAATGAAGAAGGGCTTGGGCCTCCACCTGATGACTATAAGATTCAAGAAGGTGAAGATGTGACATATGAGGAGGCTTGACCCAAATGATAAGATGCTTCTTAGCTTCACATCTTCAGCGAAAGGGCAAACAGATCGCAAGGTCTGCAGACACCTTAGGCATGTTTTAGAAAATTACTTTGGCGGCTCCTGTGAGCTAAAGCCATCAAGGGGTCTTGAGTGTGCTGGGAATTGCCACGAATCTTCTAATCACCAAGGCTCCCTGAAAGACGTGAGAAGGGTCAAAGCCAGGACAGCGCTGCCAAATTACAAAGTCAAGCGAAAACAGTAGTAAACAGAACCTAATCCGAGCACTAGATGAAGAAAAGGGACCATATTTAAAGAAATTTATTTTGGGAAAATTAGCCGTCCAAGACTAATTTCAATTAGGTGGAATTTCGTACGGGGAAAAGGGACCAGATTTAAAGAAATTTTCCGGGGGACCAATCCTGAAAATCGAGATATTCAATGCATTCCTATTCATTTTTTAAATTATTCGAGGTCCAAGAGCTCCGATGATGCGGGAATGCATTCCTATTCTTTTTTAATTGAGTTCCAGGAGCCCCAATCATTCTTTTAATCTGGCACCCTAAATTTCTTATTCTAGCGGGGCTAGTGGGGGGGGGACCCCCCCAAATTAAACAAGTGCTCGGATTA